TTTTTGGCGGATTTTTGTCCAAAACACCGTAAAAACCGTGGCGAAAGAAAAACCCAAATTCTATGTTGGTGCTCCAACGTGCCAAAACTCGAGTTTTGGCACATGCCTGCCCCCGAATTTGCTCCACCCCGCGCGGCGGCAGACGCACGTGCTGCCAACAACAACGACAACAACGACAACAACAACAACAACAGCAACAACAACAACAACAAGAACAACAACAACAACAACAACAACAACAACAACAACAACAACAACAACTAGTACTACTACCACTACTACTGCTACTACTGCTGCTGCTACGGCTACGACTACTACTACTACTACTACTACTACTACTACTGCTACTGCTACTGCTACTGCGACTATGACGTTGCCTCGAGACCTTATTCTCAAGCCCTGAATCTCAATCTTTCAGCCCGGCTCTCTCCGTCTGAGGTGTTCTGTTGCAGGAGGAACAGCCCGTGCACGACCCACCGCCGGTGAAATCACTTCTCCTGGCCTTCCTCATCATGTTCCAAGGTGTGGGTCCAAGATTTAGGAGTTTCTGGTGCGGTTCAGGAATAAGGGAACCGATTTCCAAACCTTGGACTCACTTGTCCAAATCCCTCAGAGTTCTCAAGCTCAAGATAGTTCCAAGAGCTTCAACCGTGCAAACACTGAGGTTACGGTGTCATGAATGGCAACCCTCAGCACGTCCCTTGGTGGCAGGGAGACCGGCAGCGTGATGCACCAGGAAAGTACTAGGGGCGTGCGAGGGCATTCGACTAGGGTTTGGCTGTTGGATCGAATCAGCACATAGAACTTGAGTTTGCGCACTGTGGGTTTAGTGTTGGAGTTATCCGTTTGGCACAGGGAAATAGCCCGACAAGTGTGTGGCTGAAGATCTTGCGGACGAGATATGACTGAGGGTCTTTGGGACACCACTCCACAACTTATGCATCTCCGAGGCTTTGAAGATGAAGCTTGACCTGGCACCCGATCAAGCTGGTGCTTTCCAAGATGCTACTGCATCCTTTCAGCTCTCCAAGCTTCTGATGCGGGTTCTGCAGATCTCCCTGCTGGTCTTCATGCAGCCAAACGGCATTGTCTATCTATCCTACGCCGCTTGTCCACATCGAGCCCGGTAGAAGCCAAAAGGGTGTAAAGCAATCACACGCGTAGTATAGAAGTCGAGATATCTAGTACTAGTGACTAGCGACGCTCGTCGCTATATAGTCATAGTAGAATATACCCCCAAAGCCATTGACATCATTAATTTAGGTCCTTAATCATAATGAAAAAACTATAATAAGAGCAAGCCGCACGAGCCTCAGTCGTCGACAGCCGCTGAAGGTCGTTATGTTTGTGGCTGTGCTGGTCCCGGTCTTCCTTGTCTGGTGTGCTGACATGACGGACCTGTCCGTCGTGTACCTGCAGTACACCCTGGGAGGTCGGCATCCAAAATTCCAGTGCTTGCGGGCTTACCAGTAGAGTGCTTATGATTGTTATTGCTATTATTTTTGTTCTTGGCATTACTATTGCGTGCCATGAGTGCTCTTCTTATTGTTATTCCTATGATTACTGTCAGTTATTGTTAGTACTATGATTGCTGTCAGCAAACTTATCACTATTATTACCGTTAGATGCCCTTCTTGAAGCCGGCCCTGGCACTGTCCAGCACAATACAGATTTTCTGCGGGTTTTCAGGGTTTAGGGTTTGGGACTCCCAGCTGATCGGCAGAGTCTGGTTCCAAAAAAGGGCTTGGGTTTCTTTAATCAGTGGTGCAGACTGTTGGGCAGTTGAGTTTTGGATGGCTCCCTTCAGCTTATGCATGTGCTCTGTTCACCGATAGACATGTCATATATTCACAGGAATGGTGATTTTGGTCCAATGTTTCTCGGAGCTGATCAGTGCCTTCGATTTGCGTGGCAGGCATTGCCATCGGACTCTTTGAGGGCACATTCCTGAGCGTGATCAGCGTACTTGGCGTCTCGCCGGCTTGACAGCCGATAGCCAGGGTCTGATCATATACTTTCATAGTTGATTGACAACAAAGCTTCTGGCTCAGGTTTTGCGAGAATCTCTCGCCGACGGCAAAAGCCGTTATAAAAGCAACTAAACCCAACTGGGTAGTTGTCAAAATTATGGTCCCTTTCGGGGTACCCTAAACAATAGGTGCCGTATTATAATAAGGACCCAAAAAGGACCCATAATTTTGACAACCACCCAACTCCAACGCCCAGATACTAAGTGCTCAGGTAAAAACACCAAAACCTTCGCCATCATGGGAGCTCCTCTGGGCTTTGCCGTGCATAATATCCTGCTGGGGACCTTCCAGCAGTGGGGCATGTGGGGAGCTCAGTGAGCCGAGACATGGCACTTGCAACAACTACTATGATTATTTGTTGTAGTTTGTTTTCATAATTCTGATCTTTATTATTTCCAGTCTCACAATGTCTAGTACGAATAGCAGTGCTAGCGTTAATACTTGCTTTGATACTCAAGTCCAGTACTAACACTTCATACGAGTACGAATGGCTCATAATGATACTGTGGTGTCTACTCGCTCTACTTCTAATGCCATCACATATACGTATAATATATATATATATATAATATAATATAATATAATATAATATACACCCGGCTACTCATATACTCTTACTAGTTTCTTTTGCTATGACTTGCCAAAACCTTTGCTCTTATGAGCATGGCTATAAGCGATAAGTATTATGGTTGTTCTCATATTACTCCATGACTGTAGGGTTTTTATTACTTACTAGGGGTTGTCGAACTGGAAGCTAAGCACAGCCCAGCTCCTAAATTCCGAGTTCATGGAGACACATCTTCGTATTTAACAGCAGCAAATCAGAAGATTGGTGTCAAATTGCCCTCGCATGGCGAGACTCTTGATGATGGCCACGGCAGAGAGAGAAACCCTAAACTTGACAACCCTAAACCCTAAACCCCTCCATCCTCGCCTGCAATTGCCCGAGTTGCTAGAGCGACGACCCTAAACCCTAAACCCCACAACCTCAACTTACCACCCTGCAATGCGGGCACGTCCTTGCTAAGTAGGAGGCCCTGTGCGAGCCGTGAGAGTCGAAGCCCGAACCCTAGACCCAACAGTTGTACCCTGCATTGCGGGCTTCGTCCTAGCTAGGTGGGAGGCAAAAGAAGACCCAACAGTCGCAATCCCGACCTCATGAATTCTGTGCCTGCCTTGTGCGAGTGTGGGAGCCGAAACCTTGCACCGAGGCCTGTGGTAGTTTACTACGTCTACTCGGCCATTTGTCTGCCCTTCGCCATGGTCGGGCACCCGGGGGATCGGTGTTCCGGCCCTCGTGGTGGCCATATAATTACAACGATAACATACTGTATAAGATACCGTAGCCCAAGGCTCCCCTGTTCCAATGAGTAACTGAAGGCCCCCATTTGGACCCTACACCCTGAAACCCTCAACCCCGAGCCCCTGACTGTCTCTTCAGCTTGGGGCCATAGAGGGCCGTGGAGTGCCTAAGTGCTTGATGCCTTTCGTTATAAAACAACCTCGGAGTCGCTTCGATCGGGCTGAGAGGACCGGAAGGACCCCGGTGCTGCCGAACCACAAGCACGAACCAGAGCCAAGTCACCAACCACATGCAGAACGCGTGCCATGGGTCGTGAGAACAGTTTTCAACGAAGTGGTTTAAGGGTCAGTCGGCATTGGACCATCGCACCGAACTTCTCATGGTTGCTCGATTACCGCGAGCTACCTCTTGACAGGTCATCTTTTACTACAAGGCTCCACCTGCGGAGGCCAACTCGCAGGGCAAAGGCCGGGTTGCTGTGGGTTCAGGTGCGGCGCTTGGCTAAGGGTGGCTGACGAGGGTTCCGTGCCGGATCACTGCAAAGTATAAGCATAAGGTTCACACACTGATTGAAGCAGGTGGCTTCAGGTTATGGGCTACTTATAGAACCTGAAGGACGCAGTCCTAACTCCTACAGTCCCGAAGGGCACTCAGCCGCAAGGCCCTAAAGCCCGACTCATGAATCTGCGCCTGCCTTGGTGCGAGCATGCGAGTCGAAAGCCTGAAACTCGAGACTGGCCATCCCTATAGCAAAATCAGCCTGTGTTTCCGGTGCCAGAGAAACTTGATGAAGGATAAACGTGTAAAGCCGGCAGCCCCAAAGCACCGCTGAAACCTCAACTCCTCTGTAAAATCCCGCCCTGAGGCTTGAAATCCCGAAGGCATGGAATAATTATCCAAACTCCGAAATCCTCGAATCCCACATCCCGTGACTAAAGCCCTGCCCACTCGCTCCCGCCCACCAAAAAGAGCATAAGACTAGCACGTAGTACAGCACAGCTTCAAAAATACGATCACATCACAAATTTTTATTCTACATTACATATTACATATACCATACCATCTATATTGTTGCATTTTGTGTATTACATGTGATAAACTATACATGATCTATTATACATTATATTTCGATCCTCAGGCTGCCAGGTGTTCCTTCGCTCGCTCCAGCAGCCCAAGGAGTGGCTCCCTGCCGCTTGGGCCACTTCCAGCAACTGCCGCTGCTGCTACGACGACGACTGCTGAGGTTACTACTGGGCCCTTGCAATAGTATCATTATTGTGATGATGACTATTATTGTGAATGAGGCTGGTTTGAGATAAGTATATCGTAGTGTTTGTGCCAACAATGTTAACAGGATTGCTTAACGGCTAATGCCAGCTTCACACTTGTTATTAATGCGCTTTGCTTTGCTGATCTTCGTATCGCTATGCCGATTGAGATTGTGATGCGGAATGATGCGGACAATGCTTCTTAAGTTTTCTCATGATGAGACTCACAACAGGTACAAAGTGGTGGTTGTGGTAGAGGTGGTGGTGGTGGCAGTGGTGGTGGTGGTGCTGCTGCTGTTGTAGACACTGCGGTAAGAAAGGTCTCAGCTTTGAGGGCGCCTTCAGGTCTGCTGGTTACAGATGTTCGATGGCATGAGTGTCTCAATAGCTGCTGATCTTGTCTCTTGTTGTAACCACCCGCACGGCGTGTTAGTTTTAGGCTCATGTTCGAATTTTCTACAAAACTTAAGACTTAGGCCTTTAGGCCCGCGGTTCCATGTGCCGTCACTGTCAACCGCGCGCCTTCTGTGAAAAATGCCGGAGAGTCTCCGGCACACATACCCCAAACTACCGGTACTTTGCCTAGGATCCCTGTTGTTTGGTGCACTAGTGAGGGGAGTTCCAACTGGCAAGGCGATGATACCATGGTTTATTGCCAAGTTTCTGGGCAACTTTGTCATGGAGGAGGGCCCATTGAAGCAAAGCTTCCTGCCCTTTGCCAATTGTGCCAGGGCGCTTTAGCCGCGTTCCTTTCGTCTCTCTTGCTTTCAATCACCGGGACACGTGCGGGTATGAAGCCACAAGCTCTGAAGGGTGGTGTAACACCTACCTCGACCTAGCATAAACCACTATTATTCTGGACCCTGGCCGTAGGATGCTTTCCCTTTGCTCTTCAACACCTTCAACACGGCTCGGGTCCCCATCTTTGGCCCGGACAGCACCAGCCCCACCATCCCCTTTCAGCACCTTGGCTGCTGTTGGGGCTCAGGGACATAGGGGTTTAAAGGACCTAGGGTTCTAGGGATTCTAGGGTTTTGGTCGTAGCGTTGTGGCGTTGTGGGCAAGAGTCGATCCAGGCTGTTTTGATTTCGGCTGCTAAGAAGTATGATTTCGCTGCTCGGACTGCAAGGTACTACACGGCCTGGTACTGGTTCGTCCTCATGGCCCTGGGTGACACACTAAGTCGGCGAGTGCCGCAGTACCTCTCGCTTTCAAGCTTCTCGGCCCTTCACGCCACTTCCGTCACATCTTTGCATATCGTATTGTTGAAGATGTCAAGGATGATTGTTGCATTGGATACGGGGCCGTGGTTGACGATGCTGATATCGGCTGTGATAGTCGTGGTGGTCGTGACGAAGAAGATATAATCACCTATGGCGATGATCCTGCTGATTTTGATGCTTTCGTCTAAAGGCACTCGCACTGGCTTGTCGCAAAACTTTGGCGAAGGACTCTTCTTTCTGTCGCCGGGCGTGTTGCGTGGTGTCAGACATCACTGCTCGTGCGAGCGCAGGTTGGGGTACACGCATCGAGAAGCGTATCAAGACGCAGAATAAACACATCTTCGTCCTCTTTGCGTGTAATGCTGGCCCCGCTCCATGCCCCGTCTCCCCACCGCCCGCCCCGCCGCCCCGCCCCTTTCCGTGTTCTCCTTGTAAGGCTTTTGTTGCATCTCTGAATGGGGGTTTCCAAAAATAGGGGACCCTAATATAGTACCCTAAATAATAGGTTCCCTATTATAAGGACCCCCAAAATAAGGTACCCTAATTTTCGGAAAGTCCCAAATGTACGAGATCCGAGGCTGGCAGAGCTGGGCGTGTTGGATCGTGGTGTCCATCATTCTTTGCATCGGAGGCCTCAAGGGATCGCAAGGGCGCCCACTTCGCATCAGCAGTGTTGTGACTTCAGGTGATGAACCTGGTAGGATGGTTGGTTCGGTTCTTTCATAATTGCAGGATGAGGCAGGAGCTCGCAAGAACGGCCTTTGCATAGACAAGCTGGTCATTATCCTAAGCCAGCAATACAATACAACACACTATGTTCTAATACGCTAGAATGCAATAGAATATACTTCCCAGGAAAAAATACTACAATGTACTATAGTTTGCCATTATATAGTACAATCACAGACCCTGACCTCCACGATGGTTTGGAGCCCCCTTCGGGCCACGCGAGTTGCACTGCAATGTCGGCGACACGTCTTGAAAGAGCGATTGCATTCCCTCCGCATTCGACCTGCCTTGAGCATGTGGGCGCAAAGACGACCAGCGGAGTCAAGAGATGCGATGGTGCCAGGGCATGCGCTGTGCGGGCCACTAGTGCTAAACGAGGCTGCGCGAGATCATGCGACGAAGGAGTCGCTCACTATGCTTGTGCCCAGTTCGCTCAATTTCTTTTCATCACGGACCGGTGGACCGTTGGCAGAAGAAGGCATGGAAGAAACGGGAGAAGCATTTCAGAAGTCCACCGCGCGACGCGCATGATGTGAACATGAGGGTGAAACCACTTGCTGGGGGTCCTGGCGTTTGCTGATGATCTACTCGTGGGTCACTGGCTTCATATTGCAGCACCCTCGTCTCATACATGAAGAAAGCACTTCTTGCTCTTCTTGTTGGAAAATGGCCACAGGAGAAGCCCTGAACTTCCTGCTGCTTGCCATTGTCACTGGCATTGCTGCCTTTCTTGCGTACTTCGGAAACGGACGCTGGGCTGCACATGATAGGACGTGGGTGCCAGCCATTCGTTCCTTCTCGGCGTTTGCCGCCCGCTGTATGTCGAGAGCGGTAGTTGAAGAGTAAGGCCACGTTTGGGCCAGTTATGTCTGTGCAGACAGCTCCCCAACAGAACACAATTCCGAAGCAGTTGCACCCAGGATTGATCTATGGCTTGTCCGCAAAGTTCATTGATGCACACATTCCGGCGCAGCACCGCTATACCGCCTACAACTTGCTGCTCGGCTTGAGTGATGGCACCGGTGACGCCTAGTGTCTTAGGGCTTGAGTGAGCCCCCAAAATAGTAAATTGGTAATAATTTAGGCCCCTACATCAGGGTTCAGTGTCTGTCAGGACATCGTTGCAGCACCAGCCATGAGTTCACGCGCAGCTCCTGTTCTCTTAGCTCTGTCCTTGAACGAGAACGAGATGTATCGAACCCACTCAGCGATCTAAAGCTGTGTTTTCATGTGAAAGTGCCGTGCCCCGAACAGTTTAAATCTCGCTGCAGGTGGTGTTTTTGCGGTGATCTGGGTGGCTATGCTGGCCAGAGCAACTTGGCTCACTGTGCTTAAGATGGGTTCAGACATGTGTGGGCGGTGTCTGTTTGCAGATCCGAATATCATTGACAAGTTGTGCATAGCTGGCTGCGCGCAGGCAGCTTGTCTGTCCACATTGCCAAGCAAGTGTGCGAGGGCAGGCACTACACGCATCTCGGTGGTCTTAGTCAATGTCACACAAATTATTGGAAGCCCGATTTGCTTCATGCGAGCAGGTTTGATTGTCCCGCCACCATCGCCTCATTTGTACGCGCCAGCTTCCCGCATTTATCCCCACTCCAGCGACCCAATCCTACATACTGCTCGGAAGCCTGACAAGCTAAGCCACAGGCGTAACCCTTTCAGCATTGGCTTGGGCTTGCCAGGGTTGAGAGTTCAGGAGGTTGCCCGCAGTCTTTAAGTGCTCGTGTCGGACATGTATATCCAATGCATGGGCGAAATATGCATGCAGACCGAGCAAAGATAGGCTTTCCAGATTTTCCCTTGACCAGGTATGTTTGCCATCAGAAGGCCTTCTCTTGGGACACTGCAAGGGAGTGGCCGGGGATGGACTGGCCTTCGCGATTCTTCTGATCTTTCGGTGCTACTAGTACTATGATAAGTTATGCTTGTTATCACTACTAAAAATCATTATTATTACTGTCTATTAGTGTGATTACTACTATTAATACTGATCTTTGTTACTATAATCTTGTTTGGTTATGGCTGTTGGTCAGCATTCGCAGCATGATTATTATGAACCTTGCACCAGCTCTCGGCTCGATCCTGGCATGCTAAGCGTGCTGTACTGTACCCATAGGTCCTAAAGTAGTTCCTTTTGGGGGTTACCTTATAGGTTTCTACCCCAAAAAGGAACTACTTTGGGGCCTATGGGTAAGTAGGCTCCTTGCGAGCTGCTCTTTGTCACATAGCGGCAGACGAAGAATGCGACCCAGTGCTAAGAACGACAACGTGTTCACGCTGATGAATCCCTAGAGTGATGGAATGGGTCGAGCATCCAAGACTTGATTCTCACAGAGTTTGTGGAGGCAGCCTAGCAGCAGCGGTTTGTCACTTGGACACTTCTCTCTGCATGGTCCGTGCGTGAAGCACACGCCTCCCCTCGATTTCAGCGGTCAGAGTCGAAGAAAGGCGTCCGATGCTGCCTTGCATTGCGGCCTAATGCCCCCGAAGTGAAGGCCAGACTTTTGCCCGGGCCAAGTTTGGATCTAACCCTGAAGCCCGAAGCCATGTATTATATCCCTTTATATACGAGTTTAACCCTTCGAGAGCACCCAGGTTGCCCAGCTCCAGATGCAAGTGCAACGGCAGGCCAGCCGTTAGGTTTTCTATGCTTGTGTCGGGAGGCGTTCCAATAGGTTCGGAGTCCCCAGACAGTTTGGTACAGTCTATGGGATTCTGACACTCGGACTTCGTAAAGAGAATTTGTAAAATCTTGGAATCTGTAGATGGGAGTTTCCAAAAACAAGGGGTACCTTATTTTGGGGTCCTCATAATAAGGATCCTAGTATTTAGGGTACTATATTAGGGTCCCCTATTTTCGGAAACCTCCAGATGGGAAAGCATTTGGGCACTGACGTCCTGGCACCTCCTGATCTGCTGGCTCTAATTGTGGTCTTCCAGTGTGGTGGTTGCAATACCATGGGTTGAACCATGCCATGTGTCTGTTCTTGATGGCATGGTAGGGGACGGTAAGTTTAAGGCTTTACAACCACCATACTTGTAGCTAAACGGTAGCTCAGGATCCAGAGCAACTCCTTGTGATGCTTGCTTGCGAGCAGGCCACGAATAGTCATTGTCAATACACCCTGATTCTCTGACCATCCAAGACTCGAGTCCTAAATCCCCTGCGTGATAGCAGTGAGTTTGGGGTTTGTGTTCACTGTCATGTTGGTGTGGCTAAGCCGCAAGCAGGCAGAGGACAGCCCCGCTGCAGCGCCCCAAGCATGAGGGAGCCCGGCAGAGCCATGGCAGAGCCACGTAGATAATATTATATACTATTGCTATGATCTGTGGTAACGGTGATGGGGAGGAGTATTACCGTGAGGCGTGATGTTTCAGGGTGGGTCTGCTTCAATCAGAGTGATGCAGGGGCCTGAATAATTATCTATTCTATTTTGGGGGTTCCTTGTTGTAATAAATATAGTATAGTGGGCCCCAAAACCCTATTCTAATTGATTATTATGGCCTTACTATGTTTGCGAAGTTGAATTGAAAGGCGGGTTTTCGTGGCGCACACTCACTCCGATGCTTACTCAAGTTCTACACCTTTGCTTGAAGCACCACCCTAACATAGGGGATAAACAGTGGGATCAGCCGGATCCTGATCCAAGTTGTCGTGAAGCACTGGGTGTCTTGCGTGTTTTGAGACGCCCGGAAATCTTATGAAACGCTTATGGCGCACTTTTGGATTTTAGACATTGTATCACCTTTGATAGAACCTTTATGGGAGATCTTAGAAACGATTTTCGACCCTATTCCCATTATTATGGCTCCTATCTTGTCTCACTTAAGGTAAAGTTGGAAGACACACTCCTGTTTCCTGACCAAGAACAGCTTCAGTGTAGGCTTCTCAACCATGATGTTGCCAGACATGTGCCGTACATAGCATGGCAGGGTCTCGCGTCGTCTTTCCCTGTGTAGCTGTGGGCTCGCCCAAGGAAGGGACCATGGTACGCCATGTTGCGCACTTTTTTTGTGTTTGTGCTCATCGAAGTGGTGGCTGCGAGAACGTCTTCACCGTGCCCGACTACGGAAAGCTTCCGGCACTGCCACATCATGGAGAACAAAAAACATAGTGGGTTCACGCCACTTGCGGTTGCGAGGGCATTGCCGTGGACCCAACCGCTGTGCGCGTCGGCTCCACAGCGACCCAAAGGCTTGAGGTCACGATCCAACCTTCAGATTTCCTGCATCGTTCGGAAGGACTGGAAGATGAAGTCTTCGTCCCCAACCTTCTGCGAGCACTACGACATGCGGCGAGTCGTCCTTTGCACTTGCAGAGTTTGGGTAGCACTCAACGTGAAGCCCAAGCAGTGCGGCTGCAACTACGGAGTGAACAGCGCCATCGATGTTTTGCACTTTCACTTCGCGCCATGACCCCAACCCCAACTTGCATGTGCGATTGGACTTGTGGACCTGCGGGACCGTATTCGTGCGATGAGTCAGGGCTCTGCAGGCACTACCTCAACGCCATCCGTCGTCTGGGTGCAGCTGATCCGCAAGGGTGGGAAAGTCACAGCCAAGCTGAGGCCCAATGAGGACGCGCTCGAGCCGGTGTTCCAGGTGCAGTCGGTTCAGGACGTGCAGCTCCAAGATGTGGATGACTTGAAGGAAGCCATCAGGCAGAGGAACTCCGTCGATCTTCACGACATTG